GACCAATGGTTTTGGTGAATATTCTCCTTGAGTATAGAGACACACTTTATTTATGTATAAGCCAAAGTCAATGTTTTATATTGATTGCATGTTAACTAATATTTGCATATATTGGGTTAAATAAAATATATTATTAACATGAAAAAACAAGGGAACTATTTTTAACACTGATATCTGTTATTAAAGTTGTACCAGCCGGGTGCAGTTGCTCATTCCTGTAATCACAGCATTTTGGAAGGCCAAGGCAGGTGGATAACCTGAAGTCAGGAGTTCAAGACCAGCCTGACCAACATGGCAAAACCTCATCTCTACTTAAAAATATATAAAAATTGGCGAGGCATAGTGGCTGACACCTGTAATACCAGCTATTCCAGAGGCCGAGGCAGGAGAATCGCTTGAACTCGGTAGGCGGAGGTTGCAGTGAGCTGAGATCGCACCACTGCACTCCAGCTTGGTCAACAGAGGGAGACTCTATCTCAAAAAAAAAAAAAAAAAGGTAAAAAAAAAGGGTTTCAATATTTTTAAAAATTATACATTTCTGCCTGGTGCGGTGGCTCACGCCTGTAATCCCAGCACTTTGGGAGGCTGAGGTGAGCAGATCACGAGGTCAGGAGATCGAGACCATCCTAGCTAACATGGTGAAACCCCATCTCTACTGAAAATAAAAAAAATTAGCCAGGCATGGTGGCACGTGCCTGTATTCCTAGCTACTCAGGAGGCTGAACCAAGAGAATTGCTTGAACCCAGGAGGCGCAGGTTGCAGTGAGCCAAGATCGTGCCACTACACTCCAGCCTGGGCCACAGAGAGAGTCTCCATCTCAAAAGAAAAAAAAAAATTATACACTTCTATGTAGTAATTGTGATAATAAATTAAAAAGCATAAGTATAAAATATTATCTTTAGGTTTTAAAAGTATCTCTGCTACTCTCCATATGACATAACACGTTATGGTAGATCACTAAAATAATGGCCCCAATGAGTCGGTCACACTTCCCTGTGTCCACACCCTTTTGCAATGTGATCTGTTGCTCTTCCACAAAGGAGCCATCCTTGAGAAAAAGGGCTTTGCAAAAACAATCAAGAACCAAGAAAACATGTTTTTCTATTCTTCGTGGTTTGAAAACAGTCAAATGTTAACATCTTATATTTATATACAGCTGCAGGTGATCTAAAATTGGTATCTTGAAATTGGTTTATTTTTGCATTACAGATATACAAATACTTAAAAACTTAAAAACTTCAAACTGTATAGCATAAACTAATTAGGTCAAGGGCCTATTTGTGGAGTCCTCTAATCTTTTGATACATTACAGAAAATTAGTGCTTTTTCAGTAGTTTTTCTTTTTGAGAAAAGGTCTCACTCTATTGCCTAAGGTGGACTGCAGTGGCACAATCACAGTTCACTGCAGCCTTGATCTCCCAGGCTCAAGTGAATCTCCCACCTCAGTCTCCCAAGTAGCTGGCACTACAAGTGCACAACCACAACACCTGGCTAATTTTTATATTTTTTGTAGAGATAAGGTTTCACCACGTTGCTCAGGAGGGGTCTCAACCTCCTGGGCTCAGGTGATCCACCCACTTCTGCCTCTCAAAGTGCTGAGATTACAGGTATTAACCACCATGTCCAGCCAGTACTTATTCTTAAATTCAACTTTTTATAGTTTTCTTTTGTTCATAAAACAGAAGTTGATTGTGTATACACTATTTTTACTTAAACCATACATCTCTGTTTGCTTAGCTACAACATGTATTGTTAAACATTTGCAGTCATTGCTTGTATATACCTGCACTAGATGTATTACTTATTTTTTAAAAACTGAAAGAGCTGGGGACAGCTACCAATAATTCATTTTACGTAACTAGATGGATGTACCCAAGAGATAATGCCCATTCAGTTCCACATCACCACAATACAACAAATATCACAATAATTTTTGGTTTCCCAATGCATATAATAAAAGTTATGTATACACTTATACTGTAGTATATTAAGTGTGTAATAACATTAAATCTTTAAAAAAAAAAAAACATATACATTAAAAAACACTTTATTGGCAGGGCACAGTGGTTCACACTTGTAATCCCAGCACTTTGGGAAGTAAGGCAGGCAGATAGCTTGAGCTTAGGAATTCGACACCAGCCTGGGCAACATGGCAAAACCCAATCTTACCAAAAATACAAAAAATTAGCTGAGCATGGTGATGTGCACCTGTGGTCCCAATACTTCAGAGACTGAGATGGGAGAATCACTTGAGCCCAGGAGGTGGGGTTGCAGTGAGCTGAGATCGTGCCACTGCACTCCAGCCTGGGTAACAGTGAGACCCTGCCCCCTACCCCTTATAAAAAGTACTTTATTGCTAAAAAAAAAATTCTAATGACCATCCCAACCTTCAGCAAGTGATAATCTTTTTGCCTCAATGTTTGTGGCTGTTTACTAATCAGGATGATGGTTGCTAAAAGTGGTGGGGGTATCTGTAGCAATTTCTAAAAATAAGACAACAATGAAGTTTGCCATACTGAATAAATCTTCCTTTCATGAAAGATTTCTCCACAGTAGGCAATGATGTTTGATTGAAGTTTGATGGCATTTTACCAGTAGTAAAACTTCTATCAAAATTGGAGTCAATCCTCTCAAACCACACCATTGCTTTATCAACCAAGTTTACAGAACATTCCGAATTCTCTGTAATCATTTAACAACAGTCCCAGCATCTTTCCCAGGAGTACTTTCCATTCCCAGAAATCACTTTCTTTGCTCATCCATAAGAAGCAACTCCTCCTTCATTCAAGTTTTATCATGAGATTACAGCAATTCAGTCACATCTTCAGACTCCACTTCTAATTCTAGTTATCTTGATATTTCCACTACATCTGCAGTTACTTCCTCTATAGAAGCTTTGAACCCCTCAAAGTCATCCATGAGGACTGAAATCAACTTCTTCCAAACTCCTGTTAATGTAAATAGTTGACCTCCTTCCATTAATCATGAATATTCTTAATAGCACTAGATTTATGAATCTTTTCCAGAAGGTTTTCAATTTGCTTTGTCCAGGTCTATCAGAAGAATTGCTATCTATGGTAGCTATAAGCCTTACAAAATGTATTTCTTAAATAATAAGACTCCAGATTCAAAATTACTGTTAATCCACAGGCTGCAGAATGAATGTCATGTTAACAGTCATGAAAACAACATTCATCTCCTTGCACATCTTCATCACACATGTAGGGTGACCAGGAGCATTGTCCTTGAGTGCTAATATTTTGAGAGAAGTCTTTTCAGGGCAGTACATCTTCACAGGCTTAAAATATTTAGTAAACCATGCAATAAACAGATGTACTGTCATTAAGGCTTTGTTGTTCCATTTACAGAGCATGAGTGGTGAAGATTTAGCATAGTTCTTAAGGCACCTTGGATTCTCAGAATGGTAGATGAGCACTGTCTTCAACTTAAAAAGTCACCGGGTACTTCAGCCCCTAACGAGAGTCAGCCTGACTTTTGAAGTTTTGAAGCAAGGCACTGACTTCTCCTCTCTAGCTATGTAAGTCCTAGGCAGCATCTTCTTCCAAGAGAAGGCTACTTTGTCTACACTGAAAATCTGTTTAGTGTAGCCACTTTCATCTATTAACTGAACTAGATATGGGTAACCTGCTGTAGTTTCTATGTCAGCACTGGCTGTCTCACCTTGCACTTTCATGTTATGGAGATGGCTTCTTTTACACTTCATGAACCAACCTCTGCTAGCTTCCAATTTTTCTTCTGCAGCTTTCTCAAGTCTCTCAGCATTTATAGAATTGAGAGAGTTAAGGCCTTGCTCTGCATTTAAGGGAATGTTGTAGCTGGTTTGATCTGCTATCTGGACCACTCAAACTTTATATCAATGATAAGGCTGTTTCACTTTCCTGTCATTCCTGTGTTCACTGGAGTAGCACTTTTAATTTCCTGGAGACCTTTCCTTTGAATTCACAATGTGGCTATTTGGCGAAAGAGGCCTAGCTTTCAAGCCTCATCTTGGCTTTTGACACTCCCTCTTCACTAAGCTTAATTATTTCTAGCTTTTGATTTAAAGTAGAGTTGTGGGACTCTTCCTTTCACTTAAACATTTACAGGCCATTGTAGGGTTATTAATTGGCCTAACTTCAATACTGTTGTATCTCAGGGATTAGGAGAAGGGAGAGAGAGTGGGGAGCTGGTCAGTGGAGAACCCAGAACACACACATTTACTAATTAAGTTCACTGTCTTAGATGGGTGCACTTCTTGGTACCCCAAAACACTACAATAGTAACAGCAAAGATCAGTGATCACAGATCACAATAGCTAAAATAATAGTGAAAACTTGTAAAATACTGGGAGAATTACCAAAATAAGACAAAGAGGCAAAAAGTGAGCACGTTATTGAAAAAATGGTACCAAAGCCTTGCTTAATGCAAGGTTGCCACAAACCCTCAATTTGTTTTAAACACACACACACACACACACACACACACACACACACACACACACACACACTAACCATGAAGTACAATAAAGTAATGCATGATAAAATGGCATATGCTGGTATTTAAAATAAATTTCCCTTGCATCAAGAAATTAACATGACTTCAATAAAAGTGACAAAAAATGTTTTAAGCCCTCTTTATGCCTCACATAAACACTCCCTTCAAAAAAATCATGAGTCTTCAAAGCATCCATATTAAACTAAGTGCTCTTTCACATTGCTTATAAAAATTACCATCAATGATATATCAAATTATTCAAAAGTTATAATTAACCATTTATGAATAACAAGCTACTAATCTCACATAATTGAAAAATCTTTAAAATAAGTATATTTTTATTATTTTAATTCATTGGAATAAATAAAGCTATCTTAGTTCTTATTTAAATCTTACCTTTTAGAGTACTATTTCTCTGAAATTACAACTTCAAGAAAAAAGAAACTTATCTGATGATCTCAAAGCCAAACCCATACTAACAAACAAGAAAATTCACTTTTCATACCTTAAGACAGCAGTGTACATAACAATAATGAAGCAGGTTATCAGAAGGTTGAGTAAGGCTGCTGACCACATGCACCAACTGTTCAGCATACATGGGCACTGAATGTTCCAGATTAATTTTATCCACCAATATTTGAATGGATGGTAAAGGCCGAAGAGACTGGAAGTTAGTAGTATTCGTGAAGTTACTGGAGTTCTGGAAAATAATAGTGTTCACTTTATATTTTAAAAGTGGAGCAGTGACTGAATTGCAATTCCCTCTATTCAAGCTTGAGACCTGCACATTTGCAGTGATATCAAATCAATCTAGAAATGATGCCTTTCTACAGAAATCTCTTGCTATAACCAAATAACAAATGTCTTTCTAAAATTTTAAATATGTCCCAGACTTCAAAGAGTGCATATTTTTTGCAAAATTATTGCCCTTTTATCTCAAGTTCTTTTTCTTTTTCCATCAACTGGAATAGTATCACTACACGCCTCAGTATGATGAAGATATTTTATTAAGCTTAATTATTCCAAAATGTTTTCTAGAATCCAAAAGTCAGAATCTTTTAATCTCTTTTATTCACATTTAGCTCACTAGGGAACTAAATGGACTAAACATTTCCTGTTTGCAGGAAAGAAAAATTCCTGCTCTCTATCATGTCTACTAGCAATACACATCTTCAGGGCTAATCAAGTTGTAAAAATCTTGAGGAGGGCACAGTATTCTCAGTTTTTACAGAATCTTTCTGAGCTTTCAAATAAACACAGGTAAGTTTCAAGATGTCCAGCACATACACCCTGAGTAGCAAGTGACCCCTGTCCTAAAACTCACTCATTCACTTCCTTAAAATGCTCTACTTATGGTTCTCAATGAGGAATGCCATGATTTTCTATCCAGAATAATATGACAGAATATAAGAAGAGCAGTTTCATTGCTTTGTCTGTCTTTCATTGTCACAATGATATTGGCCTTTAGAAGGCATTGGCCAAAGATAGTAAATGCTGCATAATAATTCTCCAATCCAAAAAACCAAAAATGCTATTACTGAGAATCACTGTGCTTAAAACTAAGTTGAAAATATAATCCTGATTTTTTACTCATTACTAATAATTTTTAAACCACCATTTATTTTGGAACTACATTGCTTTTTTAAGTGACTTTCTTTGGAATTACTAAGAAATAACACAGAGTAAAGCACACAAATCTGAAGGGTAGAGCTGAATGAATTTTTACATCCATAACCACCACCCAACTGAAGGACTCTACAAGGCTGTCCCACGTCCCTTTCAAGGCAATACTAAATCCTCAACAGATGTAGCTAATCACTTCAACTGCCATATATTAGTTTTCTCTCTTCTTGAACTTCATATAAACGAAATAATACAATATATAATTTTTCACTCAATATTATACCTGTGAGAATTATCTATGTTGTTCATTCTTTCAGTTCACATTTTTATCATTATGAAGTGGCTCTCTTTAATCCTAGTGATACTTCTTACCTTAAAATCTACTTTATCTCTTAGTAAAACAGCCATATAATCTTTTGGTTAGCATTTAAATGGTATATTTTTTCCATCCTTTTCCTTCAAATCTGTGTCCTTATGTTTTCCAGTTTCACAATTTAATTTGGTGCTTTTGTTTAATGGATTGAGGTCTCTTTTGAAATCTTCGACCTTTTTGTCTTTTTCCTTAAACAATTAGTCATAAATTCTATGTCTAACAATTCTAATACCTTAATCATCTCTAATTCTATTTATATCACTGATTTTTATTACATTTAATTCAATTGGTTCTACTTTTAGTATACCTCATAATTTTGTATCAAGCAGCTGTTATTATGGATAAAAAAATTATAGAGGCTTTGACAATGCTGTCTTCCCCTAAAGTAAGTTAACTATTCTTTGGCAAACAGACAGAATACAAGTATATTATCATGGTCCTATCCAGGAATGGAATTAGGCTTTCTTAGCCCAATCTATCTCAATCTGTACTTATTCCTAGGGTGTAGCCCTTATAAGTTTTCAAAGGAAGGTCTCAGGTGCTAACGTAGCAGGGTCTGAACTCTAATTGTAGATATACAGCACCATGCAGATAGTAAAATTTCTACTTTGCTTTCTGCTGGGTTTCCTGAAGTCTTGCATTATACATAGGCAGCTTAGGAATTAGCCAACAATCTAAAGAAAATTGTATACAAATTTGTGGGTTGCCTTCTGAGTGAGGCCTCCTTGTTAGCATTTTTCCCTTTGAGGAGCATACAGGAAGACTACACATGGCTAACCAAAGAATCTCTATGCTTGAAGATATCTCAGTAGAAACTGTCAAAATTGAAAAGCAAGCCAAGAAAAAGAATCCAGAATATTTAAGATCTGTGGGACAACTCCAAAAGATGTAACATACACATAATAGAAATTCTACAGGGAGGAAAAAGAGAGAAAGAAACGCAAGAAACATCTGAAAAAATAATGACTGGGAATTTCTTCAAATTAATGTCAGACACCAAACCAGAAACCCAGGAAACTCAGAGAACACCAAGAAGGATAAATGCAACAACAACAACAACAACAACAACAAAAATCATATACAGACATATCATTAACACACCTTACTTACAGAGGAACAATGATACAAATTACACCTGACCTCACTCAAAAACCATGTAAGCAAGAAGGAGTAAAATAAAGTATTTTAAGAGAAAAAAACCCCACAAACCTAGAATTCCATGCCCCATTAAATTATCCTTCAAAAGGAGAAAAAAAAAAGACTTTTTCAGACAAACAAAAATTAAGAAAATTTGTTTCCAGTACATCTGCCTTAATAAACATGTTAAAAAAATTCTTCAGAGAGAAGAAAAATGATAAAGGTCAGAATTTCACATCTACATACAAAAACAGCATCAGAAAAAGCACAAGGTAAAATAAAAACTTTTCATTTTTGTTATTCTTAATTGATCTAATACATGTTTGTTCAAAATAATAATAGTAATATGTATTTAATTATGTATACTTGTGTGTGGCAGGCTTATGAACACTTACATAAAAGTAAAATGAATTACAGCAATGATACAAGAGAAATGATGGCAGAATTAATATTTCTTTTATTATAAGAAACTCTGACTACCTGTAAAGTGGTATGGTGTTATCTGAAAGTAAACTTGAATTAGTTGCAAACATATAATACAAATTCTAGGATAAACACTAAAAAGAATTATAACAGACATGTTAATAGAGGAGAGAAAATCAAACCATATAAAATGCTGAATGAAAACCACAAAAGGCCAAAAAAGAGTGGAAGATAAAATCAGGAACAAAGAACAATGGCAAAAAATAGAAAATGACAACAAGTATGGTTGATATCAGTCCAATTACATCAATAATACTTTCCTATTAAGTGTCTAAATCCATCAATTAAAAGATAGATTGTCAAGGCAGATAAATAAGACCCAACTATATATTGTCTATAAAAAAACTTACTTTTTAAAATTTTTCTTATATATTTATTTATTTGAGACAGGGTCTTTCAGCCTCCCAAGTAACTGGGACTACAGGCACACGCCAGCATGCCTGGCTAATTTCTGTATTTTTTTTGTAGAGACAGGGCTTCACCCAGGCTGTTCTTGAACTCCTGGGCTCAAGTGATCAGTCCACTTCTGCCTCCCAAAGTGCTAGGATTACAAGCATGAGCCATCACACCAACCCAAAACGCACTTTAAATATAAAGACAAATGTAGATTGAAAGAAAATAGAGAAATATATACCATACTAAAAAAAAGAAAGTGGGAGTGGCTATATTAATTTCAGACAGAACAGGAATCAGACCAAGGAAAGCTATCAGAGATAAAGAAGGGATTAAGTAATGACAAAGGTGTAATTCTGTAAAACTACATAACAGTCCTTAACAAGGATGTATCTAAAGACACAGTACCAAAATTACGAAGCAAAAAATGATAAAATTTAAAGAAAAAAATGACAAATCCACTGTTTTAGATGGAGACTTCAATATCCCTTTATCAGAAATAATCAGCTCCAGCAGACAGAAAATCAGTAAGAACATATTTGAACTTATAATCAACTGGATATAATAAACATCAAAGGACTGCTTCATACAGCAACAGCAGAGTACACATTCTTCTAAAGCTTACATAGAACGTTCACCAACAGACCACATTCTAAGTCATAACACAGACCTACACAGTTTAAATATAAAATAAATCATACACTGTCTGCTCTCAGACCATAATGGAATTAAAGTAAAAATCAGTAACAGTAACATAACTTAAAAATGTCAAAATACTTGAAGATTAAATAACATGCCTCCAAAGAACACAAGACAAAGAAAAAAAAAACTCAAGAAATAAAAATAATTTGAATTAAATGAGAATGAAAATACAAATTATCAAAATTTGTAGCATGCAGTGAAAGCAATGCTTAGAGGGAAGTTTATAGTATTGGGTGCATATATCACAAAAAAAGGAAAGCCTAAAATCAATCACCTAAGCTTACACCTCAGGAAATTAGATAAATCCAAAATAAGAAGAAAAGAATTAAAATTAAAACAGAAATTAATAAAATAGAAAATACGAAATCAACAGAGAAAATAAATAAAACCAACAGCTAGCTCAATAAAAACCAGTAAGCCTCTCTAGCCAAACTAAGAAAAAGAGTAAGAGGATACACATTCCTAATGTCAAAATGAAAGAGGAACACTGTTACAAATCCCAAGGACACTAAAATGATAATTTTTAAAATACTATAAACAACTCTATGCCTACAAATTTAATAACTTACATAAGATGGACCGATTCTTAACAGATACAAGCTGATGACCCTGAGTATAGTGATGACCTTTAGATATAACACCAAAGGCACAATCTATAAAACAAAGAATCAATACACTGGACTTCATTAAAAATTTAGAATTTCTGCTCTGCAAAATATGAGAAAATTAAAAGACAAGCCACAGATTGGGGGAAAATATTTGCAAAAGACCTATCTGATAAAGGACCGTTACCCAGAATATACAAGGAACTCTTAAAATTCAATATTAAGAAAAAAAACAACTGTATTTAAAAAAAAAAAAAAAAAAAAAAAAGCAGGCAACAGATCTGAAGAGATACCTCACCAAAGAAGATATACAGATGGAAAATAAGCATATGAAAAGATGTTCCACACCCTATGTCATCAAAGAAATAAAAATCAAACAATGAGACAACACTTCACATCTCTTAGAATCGCAAAGAATCAAAGTCCTGACATCAAATGTTGGTAGAGATGTGGAGCAACATATTCATTGCTGGCAGGGATGCAAAATCATACAGCCACTTTGGAAGACAATTTGGCAGCTTCTCACAAAACTAAACATAGTATTAGCATACAATCCATCAATCACATTCCTTGGTATTTACCCAAAGCAGTTGAAAAAATGCCCATACCAAAACTTGTATGTGGATGTATATGACTGTTTTACTCATAACTCTCAAAACCTGAAAGCAACCAAGATGCCCTTCAGTAGGTGAAGGGATAAGTAAATTGTGGTACATCCATAATGGAATATTAGTAAGTGCAAAGAAGAAATCAGCTATCAAGCCATGAAAAGCCAAAGAGGAACCTTAAATCCATACTACTAAGTGAAAGAAACCAATGTAAAAGGTTACATACTATATGATTCAAACTATATGACAGTCTAGAAAAGGCAAAGCTATGGAGACAAAAAAAAGATCAGTGGCTGCCAGTGGTTAGGGAGATGGGGGGATGAATAGGCAGGGCACAAAAAATTTTGGGAGAATAGAAACTACTCTATGTGATACTGTTATAGTAGAAAATTATACATTTGTCAATAGTCATAGAACATAAAACACCAAGAGTGAACCCTAATGTAAACTGTGGACTTCGGGTGAAAATGACGTGTCAAGATAGGTTCAATTATAACAAACATACTACTCTGTTGAGGGATGTTGACAATGGGGGAAGCTATGCATATGGGGTTGAGTTTGTGACAAATCTCTGTACGTTTCACTCCACTGTGAATCTAAAATTGCTCTAAAAAATGCTATCTATTTAAAAAATTAGATGATAGCAAAAACAAAGTGACCAAGTGCAAACATATTTTAATTGTCTCCATTTTCTCTACATGGTCTCTTAATCATAATACACTACAGTACTTAATTATGAGTGGCCAATTGGAAGCAAAAATAAAGTTAATGCAGCTGGGCGTGGTGGCTCACGCCCCTAATCCCAGCACTTTGGGAGGCTGAGGCAGGTGGATCACAAGGTCAGGAGTTCAAGATCAGCCTGGCCAAGATGGTAAATCCTGTCTCAACTACAAATACAAAAATTATCTGGGCATGGCGGCAGGCGCCTACTTGGAGGCTACTTGGGAGGCTGAGGCAGAGAATTGCTTGAACACAGGAGACAGAGGTTGCAGTAAGCCAAGATCCCAATGCTACACTCCAGCCTGGGCGACAGTGTGAGACTTCATCTCAGAAAAAATAAAAAATAAAAATAAATAAATACAAAGTTAATACATACAGTTAATTCCCTGCCATAACTTCTTCTTTAAAGTTAGGACACCCTTATTTCTATGACCATCACTGTCAGCGGACCCCAACCTTTTTGGCATCAGGTATTAGTTTCATGGAGGACAATTTTCCTACAGATCCAGGAGAAGGGGTATGGTTTCAGAATGAAACTATGCCACCTCAGATTATCAGGCATTTGATTCTCATAAGGAGTGCACAGCCTAGATCCCTTGCATGCACAGTTCACAATAGAGTTAGTGCTCCTATGAGAATCTAATGCCATTGCTGATCTCACAGGAGGCAGAGCTCAGGTGGTAATGCTCGCTCACTCCCCATTCACCTCCTTCTTTACAATCCAGTTCCTAACAGGCAAATGACCAGTAACTGGTCAACATCCCAGGGGTTGGGGACCCCTGATCATTATATGGAATAAAAAGGAAAACAAGGCTTAGAGATATAAAGTAATTGTCCATGGCATTATAGCTAGTATATGGTCTGACTTCTAGGCCCATATTCTTCAACATTTTTTAAACACTCTCAGCTTAAGTTTATTTTATTAAAAATATAAATTTAAAATTATATTTTAAAAATTAACATGGTTCATTTATAGTTCACAAAAATTTTTACATTGCTTTTACTTCATTATGGATAACTATATAAGCAGATTATTTTATCTTTTTCTTTTTTTTTTTTAATTGAGACAGGGTCTCACTCTGACACCCAGGCTGACATGTAGTACTGTGATCATAGTTTACTGCAGCCTAAAACTTCTGGGCTCAAGCAATCCTCCCACCTCAGCCTCCTTTAGAGACAGGGTCTTGCTATGTTGCCTAGGTTGGCCTGAAAGTCTTAGCCTCAAGTATGCATCCTGCCCCAGCCTCCTGAGTTGCCAGTATTACAGGCTTAAGCCACTGTGACCAGCTGCAGATATTCTTTTATTAAATGACCAAAAAAAAATCCATATAAGAGGGGGAAAAATGTAGTGAATCACAAAATATACCTTTTCTCCCATAATGACAGGTAGCAAATGGTCCAGCAAGTTGAATTCAGCCATGGAAATTGTGCAAGTACATTTGAGGAGAGTAACACTTGTATGTCGAGTAGGAATATATTCCTCTAGAAAAGCCACCTCTTCAGGATTCAGTATTGCTTCATTTTCATCTTTAATATCTAAAATTAAAATAAAAATTTAGTAAAGAATGTTTTTAAATAATTGTCTTAAATGAATGAAAAATGAATTAATTAGATCTCTAAACTATAAGGTCAAATCCTGTTTTTCAACAATGAAGCAGGTATAAAACAATAACAAATGTACCTTTTACAAATATGTTACCTTTAACAAATATAAGTTACTCTATTCTAGAATGTAAACGTATTTGTTATATAAAAATTCACCAGTTTTTTATTTTAATATATCTCTAAGAAATCCTCAATTTCTTTCTTTAAAAGAATAACAGCTTTTGGTCATTAAGATACCATTGAGATAATGTAAAGGCAAGATACAGACTGAGAGAAAATATTTGCCACAGATAGACAGGGCGGGGGAAGATCCAGCTCTATGAGGGACTTGTATCTACAGCATATTAAAAACAAAAACAAAAAAATCTCCTAAAAAATGTTAAGAAATAAACAATCTCATGCCTGCAATCCCAGCACTTTGGGAGGCTGAGGCAGGTGGATCACCTGAGGTCAGAAGTTCGAAACCAGCCTGGCCAACATGGTGAAGCCCCATCTTTACTAAAAATACAAAAATTAGCCGTCGTGGCAGACACCTATAATGCCAGCTATTTGGGAGCTGAGGCAGGAGAATCTCTTGAACTCAGGAGGCGGAGGTTGCAGTGAGCCGAGATCGTGCCATTGCACCCCAACCTGGGCAACAGGAGCAAAGCTCCATCCCAGAAAAAAAAAAAAAAAAAGAAGGAAATGGACAATCAACCTTTATTCTGAGATGAGATTGTGGTTTTCTATCATTTCTCATGAAACTATATTTATCATATATATATATACACATGTATCTTTCCTGTTGAAGACTGTCCTTTATTCTGAGATTATAGTTTTCTACCATTTCACATTAAAATATTGTCTTATAAAAAAAATCAATAAATAAATAGGCAAAAAAAGACCTGAATAAGCAAAAGACTTGACCACTTATCTAACAGTCAAAAATGATACCAAAAGCTGGTCGACATAACTAGACATCAGGTAATTGCAAATAAAGCCACAATGTGATAGCACTACATACCCACTGAAATGGCTAAAATGAAAAAGACTAGAGAATACTAAGCACAGAGCAAGCAAATAGAGCAAAGAACAGCAAAGTGAGACACCGCACCCGACCAATAGGTTATTCCTGAGGTCATAGTAGTAACTGTAAGAGGTCACAATGGATACTTCTGAAGTGCTGATAAGTTTCTATTTCTTTAACAGTTAGTTACATAGATGTGGCTAAGTTTGCAAAATTCGGCCAGGCACAGTGGCTCACGCCTGTAAGCCCTTGGCCTTGGGAAGCCAAGGTGGGCAGATGACCTGAGGTCAGAAGTTCAAGACATGGCAATACCACCTCTCTACTAAAAAACACAAAACTTAGCCAGGCATGGTGGTGCATGCCTGTAATCCCAGCTACTTAGGAGGCTGATGCAGAAGAAATGTTGGGAGGCGGAGGTTGAATTGGAAGGCAGAGGTTGAACTGGGAGATGGAGGTAGAATTGAGTCGAGATCATACCACTGCACTCCAGCCTGGGCAACAGAGAAATCCCCCACAGATCGTGTAGAATAAAATGTTAGAATCTTATCCAAACATAGAAAGGACTATGTAAATTTACTAAGGTAGCACAGGAAAGCCATGCCATATTGTAAGTTATACAAGAAGGAGACAAAAACTGTTTGAATAATTATTAAGTTTAATCAAAGAAATAAAATGCCTTAATTTTTAATACTACTTTTAATATTTTTTCATTTCTCTATACATTTAAACAGTAAGAGAATGTTTAATGTTTTGACAAGAATTTCTAAAGGTTGTGGAACAATTTAATTCTTCACACTGATAAAAATCACTTTGCATGGTCTTCTTATACTCCCAAGCTATCACAGCAAGTGAAGATTGTATGCATATTAATGTCAGCTAGAAGGTTCTTTATATACATCACATTTTTGAAATGCTACACCACTTCAGAACTTCAAATAAAGATTATACACACACATACATGATATGTCTACTGTGGCAGAGATTGCTAATTGTTCAAGAGTATTCATTTTCTCCTTCTTTCATTTACCAATAAAACCCTCTGAATTCAAGTGAGGTATATGGACTCCTCCTAGAGATTACCTTGTAGTTAGGTGTAGAAACATGTCACTATTTTGGTCGATGGGATAAGAGTGCCATGTCCTTAAAATGAGGCTACAGTGGTTAGCGTCCACTGTACACCAACCACTGTGTCCTTAAAATGACACTACAGTGGCTCACGCCCGTAATCTCTGCACTTTGGGAGGCCAAGGTGGGTGGATCACTTGAGGTCAGGAGTTTGACACCAGCCTGAACAACATGGCAAAACCCCGTCTGTACTAAAAATATAAAAATTAGCCGAGTATGGTGGCAGGCACCTGTAAGCCCAGCTACCTGGGAGGCTAAGGCAGCAGAATCACTTGAATCTGGGAGACAGAGGCTGCAGAGAGCCGAGATCAAGCCACTGCACTCCAGCTTGAGCAACAGAGCAAGACTACATCATAGATAGATAGATACACAGACAGACAGACAGACAGACACATAGACTACATACCTACCATTATGTTCTTGCTCCCCCTTCCTCCTGATTAAAATTACACATTATAATGGTTACCTAAACTGACTGTGTATATATGGTAGATCTCAGGGGTTGGCAGAACAACCAAAGAGAAGGAATCTGGGTCTAAAACAATCTCATAAAACAGAGTTTCCCCGGAATACTGACCACCTTAGATTTTTACGAGAAGAATAAATAATGCCAACAGATATACATTAAAAGAGACAAGTGCCAGAACAGTGGCTCATGCCTGTAATCCCAGCACTTCAGGAGGCCAAAGCAGGATTGTTTGAGCCCAGGAGTTCAAGATAAGACTAGGCAACATAGTGAGGCTTCACCTCTACCAAAAAAAAAAAAAACTTAGCTGGATGTGGAGATGCACACTTATGGTCCAGGCTATTCAGGAGGCTGAGGCAGGAGACTCACTTGATTTTAGGATATTAAGGCCACAGTGAGCCATGATCACACAACTATATTCCAGCCTAAGTGACAAAGCAAGACCTCATCTCAAAACAAAAACAAAACAAAACAGCCAAGCAAATATCCCATTAGAGATATATGTAAATGAAAGTTATCATGAGGTTATTTCTAACCTAAGCAAATGTTCCCTCACAATCAAAATTAATAACTTCTCCTTCCAATATAAAGGTTTACTACAGAGTTATAGTCATTAAGTCAGCATGGTATTAACAGTGGGAAAGACCACAGGTTTACTAATAGAAAACAAACTAGAGGACTCAAAAACAGACCCACACAAATATGCTCAATTGATTTTTGACAAAGGTACAAAACCAGTTTAATAAAGAAAAAATGGTCTTTTCAACAAATGGTGCTGGTGCAACTGAAAATTCAAAGATACATAAATAAACCGCTATCTAAACCTCATTCCTTAGGTAAAAAATTAATTCAAAATGATGACATACTTGAGTATAAAATGAAAAATACTAAAACTTTTAGATAAACCCAATTTTCAAAATGGGCAAAAGACATATGAAGTTTGCTGAAGAAATAAAAATGGCAAATAAGCACATAAAAAGATGTTCAACATGATTAGCCAATAAGGAAACACGGCTTTAAAATCACAATGAGATGGCAGATTACTAATTAAAACTACACATCTATCAGAATGCTAAAATAAAAAACAGTGACAAAACACAATGTGGGGAAGATGTAAAGAAGCTGGATCACACAGTCATTGTTGGATGGGGATGTAAAATGGTATGGCCACACCTGAAAACAGCTTGTCAGTTTCTTTAAAAAAATAATAATAAACATGCAACTACCATATGACCCAGTAATTGCACACCTAAGCATTTATCCCAAAGAAAAGTTCACACAAAAACAAGTATATAACTGTTCAGAACAGCATTACTTATAACAGCCCAAAACTAGAGTAATCCCAAATATTCTTCTATAAGTGAAGGAATTAACAAACTGTAGTATGTGTATACAATGGAATACTACTCAGCGGTAAAAAGAGACAAACTACTGATACATGCAACAACTTAAACGAGTGTCCAGAGAATTATACTGAGTAAAATAAGTCAACCTCAAAAGCTGACATACTGTATGATTTCACTAACATTTTTGAAATGACAGAATTTTAGACATGGAAGACAAAAGTTTCCAGGAGTTATCCCTAGCCGCTGGAAAAAAGGAAGGAGAAAGGGACATGGTAGGCAAATGGGAGTGGCTGTAAGACAGCAACATGGCAAATCCTTGTGGTATTGGAAGTGTTCATTTTCTTGACCATCGTAGTAAACACACAAACCTACAAAGGTGATGAAATTGTACAGAACTTAATATACATGCACACAAATCATTTGAGTACAAGTAGGGACTAGGAAAATCTAAATTTTATTAAATGAAAACATATTCCAACGCTACTATTTACTACTAAAATAATAAGTTAATAACTCCCTATTGAAAACTTACTAATGATTTCTCATCACATTTTGAATAAAATCGATATTACTTGGTCCCTAAAACCCGACAGGGTGATTGATGTCTACCTCTATGACTTATAAACATTTATTGTGCTTCAGCTATACCAGCCTGGTTTTATCCCCATATGCTGCCAAAACTGTTCCTACCTCAAGGCGCTTGCACTTGTCTACATAAAACCCTCTTTTCACAAATATATGCATGATTCACTCCCTTACATCATTCACAAGTTAGCTCACATATAAACTCTCCAGGGAAAACTTTCCTGAAGTCCCTACTAAAACAGCTTTCCTCTCCTTCTGTTTCTAGCACTCCTCCTCACACTTTCTTTTATTTTTCCTCTCTAGTATTTATCAATGACTGAAATGATATTTTTACTTTTTTATTATTTGTCTACCCCAAGAGGATATAAGCTCCATAAGAGCAAAGGCTTTGTATGTCTTGTTTGCCATACTATCCTAGCACACAGAAGAATGTCTGGCACAGGGGAGGCATTCAAGTAAGATATAAATGAAGGCATGAATTCGTCCAGCACTTACTGTACACTGTGTTAAGTGTGCTTTTACATGAACTATCTCATTTAGTGCTCAGAACAATCATTGGAAGTAGGTCCTAGCAGTGTATCATTTAAGATAACAGTAAAGTTGCTTGGACAAAAGTAAAGGAATAGAAACTTCAACAAAAATAGAAGCTTTCTTTTTTGAGACAGGGTCTTGTGTTGGTTAGGCTGGAGTGCAGTGGCACAATCACAACTCACTGTAGTTTCAACTTTTCAGACTCAAGCAATCCTCCCTCCTCAGTCTGAGGACCATTGCACGAGCCCCCCCACCCAGTTAACTTTTATTTGATTTTATTTTATATAGAGACAGGGTCTTGCCATGTTTCCCAAGTTGGTCTCAAACTCCTGGGCTCAAGCAATCCTCCCAACTTGGCCTCCGCAAGTACTGGGATTACAGATATGAGTGACCATGGTCAGCCCTTATTTCTCTTTCACACAACAACCTAAGTCTAAAGGATCCAGAGCTAACATAGTACCATCACAATACTGAGGACCTAGGTTTTTTTATCTTGCTACTCTGTCATCCTCAGCATGCAGCTTTAATCTCAGGATCTAAAATGGCAGGTCCAGCCTGTGCCATTATATTTACTTTCCGACAATGCCTTCCTTTTAAAGTCATGGCCCAAAACATCACATAAAGTTCTGCTTCCATCTCAGTAGGCAGAACTTAGTCATATGACTACCCCTTAAATGTACAGTCTTTATGTTATAGAAATTTCTATTACTATGAAAAATAGAAGGATGGATATTGAGGAGACAATTAGCCATCTCTGTCACAATAACTAAACTTACTATAGAGACAGAGAAATGAAACATCAAAGATGTTAATTAAATTTCCTAAGGATACTGAGAAGTGAGGGTCAAATTTTAAACCATAGTCTGACACCACAGGCAGAGTTCTTAAGTATTATCTTATACTTTCTCATTACACTACTATGCTTTACTCTAGAGTTGATTTACTGCTTTAAAATGGAATTTGTGGCCAGCTGCGGTGGCTCACGCCTGTAATTCCAGCACTTTGGGAGGCTGAGGTGGGCAGATCACTAGGTCAAAAGAGTGTGACCATCCTGCCCAACAGGGTGAACCCCGTCTCTACTAAAAAGACAAAAATTAGCTGGGCGTGGTGGCCTGCGCCTGTAGCCCCAGCTACCTGGGAGGCTGAGGCAGGAGAATCACTTGAACCCGGAGGGCAGAGGTTGTAGTGAGCCAAGATCACACCACTGTACTCCAGGCTGGGCGACACAGCAAGACTTCATCTCAAAAACAACAACGAAAAAAAAAAGAATTTGTATTTTATTAAACAGTGACAAACATAGCTATCCACCATGTAGAAAAAATTAATTGTACAGCAAATTTTTTTAATCCAGTAGGGCCTAAGTTTTCTTGAATGTTAAATTTGTATCTTTAGAGCCCAACTTTATATCTGGCTCCTTAGAATCCATTAATGTGAAGAAAAAAAAAAAAGTTATAATTTACAAGTATCCACTAGAAAAAGTGTCAAAAGGTGTAACAATAAAATACTGACAAACACTGGCAAACAAAGTACTTGTGCAATGATTTTTAAATCTTGACCTCTCCAACTTCCACACACAAGTTTATTCTTCAAATAAACAGCTAAATATATCAAAGTCCTTGCAAACAGAGAAATTACACTAAAAAGGTAAAGTTAGCAAGACAACACAAATTGGATTGTATAATTATTCAAAACATACTGGAATAGATTCAGAATTAATCCAGAAACAAACCTGATTTTAGCCTGCTATATGGTTCATATTCATGTTCCAAGGCACACACAATCATTTTCAAAATCCTATGCACCGCACTGCTATCCAAACGAAAATCAAGAGGACCTATAACAAGGCTTTTGGTGGACTTCTCCTGAACTGTTCCCAAATCTTCACTTTTCCCTGAAGAAAAGTCTTGTTGATTTGTAGAACCTAAAAGAAGTTGAATTTTATATTTTAAGCATCAATCGAATAAACCGAGTATATATTTTAAGATTACTCTTCTCTCGTCTTTATAGCTTGTAGTTAAAAATGCCTTAAAACAAATTCCCAATCAGCTGCATACAGAGAATCCTGCTGATTTGTATTTTTCTATGCATATAATATTACTGATAAAAAGCAATTCATTAAATCTATATTTATTCCTGTTATTTAATATAACTAGCAATATAAATCAAAAGTGTCATTCTTAGAATATTTTTCTGCAAAGCCTAATTGGCTTATATCCAGTGATTCTATACACAATATGCATTGACTGAGGGGGGACTTTGGAGGAAAGTCCGTTTTACTAATTTATCTTGAAGGTCTGTTGAAAAGTACGTTATTAAAATAGCATGATCACAGGGTGCCTTGAGAGTTTTATAATGACCATGGAAATGAACAGTAGGTATTACCTGCTTTGAACTTCTTCTAGAATAGATTCATTATGGCTGTGCTCCATGGTACAGAATTCTAGTTCCTAGATTCCTTATCTCCTCATACACTGTTTTCTAAATAAGATATTGGCCCCACCTGTAGCCATGTGTCATTATCTAATATGTACACTTCTTATATGAGTTTTTTCTTTTTTTTTTGAGACAGAGTCTTGCTCTGTTGCCTAGGCTAGAACGCAGTGGCGTGATCTCGGCTCACTGCAACCTCTGCTCCTGGGTTCAAGCGATTCTCCTGCCTCAGCCTCCCGAATAACTGGGACTACAGGCACGTGCCAAAACGCCCAGCTAACTTTTGTATTTTTAGTAGAGATGGGGTTTCACCATATTGGCCACGCTGGTCTCGAACTTCTGTCCTCGTGATCTACCCGCCTTGGCGTCCCAAAGTGCTGGGATTACAGGCATGAGCCACCGCACCCGGCAGAGAGATTTTTTTTGTATATATGAATCCATTATTATAAGTAATAAAAATCATTTTTAATTTATAATGTATTTTGTTTATTCAGACAAAAAGAAGACAGATTTTTCCAAGATTTAATTACCTTTAGAACCTAGAAAGGCCTATTTAAAATAAAACTTTTATACCTACACCTTCTAATAACTTTTATACAAAAACGCATTTCCATTATTTCATGCAAAGGAGTGCAGTTCAATCTTTAGTCATCATATGAACAAAAATTAATTAAATTTATTACTCACATATATTTAACCAGATAATTCAGTGGGCAGATTTTTTTAAAGTTAACTAAATAATACAAGCACAAATCTATTAGCCCATATAGACTTAAATGTCACATCAAATAAAACATACAATGTTAATCTCATACATATTTTATAAGATGTATGATTAATACTGACTCACATTAGGAATTAGGTACAAATATCATACCATTCACATTAAAAACCATTACTTTTCATAGCTAAAATCATTACATTTCTAGAGTTACGTGTAAGATAGAATGCGGTAACTTGAAGACAGAAGAACTTCAGTTACAAATCAACATACTCAAAACCCAAGAAAAATGCCCTGCTATGGGTCCTTTAAGGGATAACAGGCTTCCTAAACAATGTCACTTTATAACAATACCCTTCTTTTAGACTCCCAAATGTCTCTAAATTAACAGAAGCCAACGCCACCATAATGATAACTGAATATAATGCAGTTTAAATTTAGATACCAATGGCCTGTCTGAAATGTAAAAACAGAATTGGCTTTTAGCTATATATTTTCGGCCATTTACTCATGCCCACCTTTCATGTCATCTGGCCACTTCCAGCTCCCTGAATGTTTGGCTGCTCTTATTAAGAGTCAAGACTCTCTCAATCCTTGTCCTTCAATTCAATAACTTGTTTCAGATTTATCTTCTACTGTATCTCTAAAATCTTTCTGTTGTACATTACAATTTCAGCTATCTACTTTACAGTCCAAAACACTGGCAATAACTCCCTTAAACAGAAAAGACTAGAAAGGTAGTCATCATAACTATAACAAATATTTACACAGTTATATTAATAACAAATATTTCAATTTAGTTGTGAAAACATCACAAATGAAAATAATTGTCAGAAGATGCTTATCTTGTGGAACACAAGGTTGAAACTTTTACTAGTGTCTATAAAAAGCTCATGGGGAAAAGACATTAGTTTTTCCAGAGTTTCAGTTGTAAACAAAAATGACTACATAAAGTATAACCACAGAGAAGGAGAAGAAGCGGGAGAAGGAGAATAGGAGGAAGAAAGAAGGAGGAGGAAAATAGAAAAGAAGCAGCAGCAGCAGCTTATCATCAATATCAAATAGTAAAACAGGAAACTTAATTTTAATTGTATTTAAATGCCATACTATAATGTGGACAAGGGACTACTATATCATTTATTACACAAAAAATAAATAGAAGCTTCCTTTATTACTGTATTTACTAGTTTCTTACATTAATTAGAATACTACCATGAACTTACTTAAAACATACAAAGTGAAATCCGCTTTCAAACTATCAGGATTCACTACAAACTTTGTAAAAGTATTGATTCGATATGTGTTTAGATATTTACTTAGATAAAATTTAGGGCACTTTTTGATAACGTTTACTATAGAAACAAAAAAAAGTCGTCAAAAAAAAACCAGAGTTTTAGATACTAAAAGTATTTTTTTAAGTATTTACAAGTATCCTCTTATAGGAACTCAATACTTTTCCTATTTCATTGATATTTAAAATTCTACAAATTTCTTGTTTCAGGTAAGCCAAGAAAGAAAGAAATATCAACAGAGTAGTTATGAATGTAGGCTCTAGAGCTGGATAGGTTGGGTTCAAATCCCACATACTATACGCATAATCTTGGTCCTTGTTACTTTACCTGTCTGTATAGGGTTTGCTGTTTCCTCATGTGTAAAATGGGGATAATTTTCCCAACTTATAAAGTTATGAGAATTAAATAAGTTAATATATGTAAAACACTTAGAACAGAGTCTTACATTTAAAACCAATAAAAATTAGCTATTATTATCAACATCATCATCATCACTCTACAAGTAAATATGGATCATGAAAAACATAAGCTATAAACAGTTACCTAAAAAGCAAGCAATAAATTAACAGATTATTGAGTGAATGAATTAACATAAAGTATATGTGACATTCACAAGTTAACAGCGGAATTCTATTATTTCCACCACCTCCCCCCTGTAAAAAAAAAAAAAAAAAAAAAAGTTCATGCAACATAAGAAAGTAAATGTGTAAGTGGCAAACCAAAAGCAAGAGAGTGATTCCCAAAAATCTTAGAACAGCAGTCTTCCCCAGTAAAGGCGGAAGAGTGTGGTAGAAAATAAATACATCGGAGGCTTATTGGATACTAACAATGTCCTATTTCTTGGTGTGCATGGAGAATACACAGGAGTTCAGTTTTAAATTCTTTGCTATTCTGTACATGTGTAATTTTCCAACATTTTGTTTTGAAAGTTAAGGACTTTGATATCTGTAACACTGTATACTATTCCCATAAGTGAAAAATATGAAAAACCTGAAGGTTAACGAACTACTGGCTTCTCAGAAGTAATATATAAACAATCTAACAACATAAATCATGTTTTCTATCTTTTAAAGGCTGCAGGAGAGGCATATATACAAATAAAGATGTTCCGTGCTAGCTTCCTTTGCTTGAAAGGTTAACTACTACATACCCCACCTCCTCACAAGATAGGGAATCCACAGCATATGCATAAGACATTATATTGAACAAGAAGAAACCTACCAGCTTACAAGTGGCAACTATAACACTATAATAATTTGCAACACTCTTAGAACATAAGACTTCTGAGTTGCACTTTCATATATATAAGTGGCTAAGAAATATTTACACCTCAATGACCATAGTTTTCCCAAAACTCATCTTTTCCTCCAAAAATTTTCCTTGCTTATCTGGCTTTCCTAATAATTATCACCATCCACCAAGTAACTCAAGACCAGAATCTAGTAAACTATTTAAATTTTGTTTTTCAATAAACCAATGTCAGGCCCATGAAAATTATAAGCAGAAAATTAAATCCCTGTGATTGCAGTAGAAACTATAGGACTACAGTGAATGCAGGAAGACCAATAAGAACGCTTTAGGGCCGGGCGTGGTGACTCATGCCTGGAATCCCAGCACTTTGGGAGGCCAAGGCGGGCAGGTCACCTGAGGTCGGGAATTCTAGACCAGCCTGACCAACGTGGAAAAGCCCCGTCTCTATTAAAAATACAAAATTAGCCAGGTGTGGTGGCGCATGCCTGAAATCCCAGCTACTCTGGGGCTGAGACAGAAGAATCACTTGAACCCAGGAGGTGGAGGTTGCAATGAGCCAAGATCACACAACTGCACTCCAGCCTGGGCAACAAGAGCGAAATCTCGAGAAAGGAAGAAAGAAGAAAAGGGGGGATAGAGGGGGACAGAGGGAGGTGGGGGGGAAGAGGGGGAGAAAGAGAGAGAGAGAGAGAGAGACAGAGAGAGAGAGACAGAGAGAGAGAGCGCGCGCATGAGTGCGCGGGCAAGCTAGCTAGCTTTAGAACCTGGCTGGGTGCAGTGGCTCACACCTGTAATTCCAGCACTTCGGTAGGTCAAGATGGACAGATCATTTGAGATTAGGAGAACAAGTCCAGCATGGCCAACATGACAAAACCCTGTCTCTACTAAAAATACAAAAATCAGCCAGGCATGGTGGTACATGCCTGTAGTCCCAGCCACTTAGGAGACTGATGCATGAGAATCACTTGAACCTGAGAGGCAGAGGTTGCAATGAGCTGAGATCATGCCACTACACTCCAGCCTGAGCGTCAGAGCAAAAATCCTTCTCAAAAAAAAAAAAAAAAAACTATTAGAACCTAGAGATGATGGTAGATATAAACTAGATGCTAGTCCACATGGTAACAGTGATACCACTATTACCATCCATGGACCAGATGGCTAGAAACAAAGGAAAAAGTGTGTTATGATGACTCCCAGGTTTCTGGCTTGAGCAACAAGAAGATGATAGCACAAGTTCCCAAAAAAAGAAGCCTAAAAATAGAGAAGCAGAGGTAGTAGGTGGTCAAAGGAATATTAACAACTCAATTTTGGACAAAATCAGTTTTGAGATATCTGTGAGACACAGAGGTGAAAGTATCAAGTATGCATTGGATATTTACTGAATCTTAGAGAAGTTTGGACTACAAAATGCAAATTTGGGTATCAACAACATATGGAAAGTGCTTAAATCCATGGAAAAGAATGGGATTACCCTTGGGAGAAAGTTTAGTGAAAGAAATTAGGGATTGAACAATGAAAACATCAACATTTAGAAACCATTCCAAAAGCAGAAGCCAAAAAATTACTCCTCTTTCCTTCTTTCTTCATCAAAAACAAATTTACTTCAAGACCAACTCTGCGAAGTTTCAATCTTTCAAGCAAAAGTTTTCTTTTTTTTTTTTACCCACACTGAACTTTTAGTTCTCCATTTATATTACCCTTCTTAACATGCTATGTTATAATCATTTAACTAACTGTCTAGTTCAACACCACCTACTGGCTCCTTGGGAAATATTTTGGTTTTCATTGCAGTCACCTGTACCTAATATATCACCTAATACAATGAAATTGTTTTTTTAAAACATGAAAAATTCACCAAAAAAATTGTAAACATATTTTCACTAGCTTTTCAACATAAAAAAGACTGAAATAGTTAGCACAACATTATACATTGATATAAAAGTAAAATAACAAATGTTGAAATTTTTAAATGTCATTTATTTCCAAAAATAGAATGCTATAAGGTACAGAATAAAATAAAACAATCTATGCATTTAAAGTCTCTGGAAGATATTCTATTTTTCTGATTGATACAACATATTCTTTTTAATTAAAAAATTAGTATCACCTTCAAAATGCATTTAGTACAGAAAAGGTTTATTCTTTTTGAAAACTTAATGTAATATAAAATTTGATGTATCAGAATCATTGTATTTGGTATATATGAGAACTAATTCTAGTAGATCATACAAAACGTCTTCAATCAGCTGTATAAAAATGGAACTGAAATGCCAAAAAACTAAGACAATTCTAATATGACATTAAAATTAAACCACTCCCCAAAGCACTAGAAGGTAAATCTTTATGTAATAGAGTAAAACCATTCAAAACCAATTTATTCTGAAGAAGCCTTTGTTTCAGTTGTTCAAGAAATGGCAAACATAAAGGAAAGAAGCCAATACCTTTGCCACTTGTGCTCTCCATTGTATACAGGTAATCCATATAAAAAGCCCCAAACCGTTGCATTCCAGCTATCTCAGTGTACGTCTCCTGCCAACGAAGCAACGCAAACAGATTGCACAAAAGGAACTTTTGTGTTTAAAACTCAATAGGTCAGACACACATCCTTATATACAATGTCTATCAACACAAAGGATTACCAAAACGAAAGAACAGACGTTATTCTAAGAATTTACGTCTAAGAAAGGTAACATTTCATCTGTTATAGACCACCTATAAAGAATATCCATAATTTTATGAGATATTTTGACCACTTTGTTAATCATATCTAGTTAATAAATACCTACAATGGAGGAGATAATACACTCCTGACCTTTATCACTATCACTAAACTATCTAATAATGTATACTCTCAAATAGAGTTAATCCTTAAATATTTCAATACTTCTATGAAACAATTCAAACACTAAAGACATAATAAAATTATGCAGGTCAACATTAAATATTTTAACAATGAAAGTAAATCTTAATGAAAAGGAGTAAATTATTCTACTGCATTAATCCTCAGGTAACTATTTGAATTTTTAACTTATTTCATAAATGTATTAATATTCCATAAACATATTAATACATTCTTACATTTAAAAAAAATACTAAGAAGTATATATAGTAAAAAGGTAAATTTCTCATTCTTTCCCATCAATTCCACACATTAAAAGTAACAAAAATTAACAGAGGTAATTCTACATGTTTCCTCCACGACTATTTTTAAAGCAGGGCACAAATAAGCAAAATATGGTTACATACTAAATAAAAGTAACGATCTCTGTGCACGCCTCAAACATTTCTACATGTATATGCTGTATAAATGCATTCTAAATGTTTTAATAAACAATTATCATTCAGAAGATACTATTTGAAAAGAAAGCTAGAAATCACAACTATTCACACAATGTCCACCCAAACACAGCCCAGAATTTGGTTCAAATATATATTCTCTGACCTTATGATGAGTTGAATCCAAGATAAATTCTGCACGAGTACCATTATTTTCTGGGCTTCTGTAATCAAACAATGAATTCGTAAGGTATGTGAACCCTTTCGTATTTAAATTTTCGCCACAAATGAAGAAACAGGCTTCCTGAAAACAAATGCAAAATTATAAACAGGAAGGAAAATCATTGGCCTGTTAAACAAAATAAAACCTTGATTTTATGATGCCCATTTACTAGTCAGAAGAAGTCACTCAAATAAAAAGATAAGAAATGCTGCTGCGTCCATTTTCATTGACTATTTTGGCTAACAACATTTTAACAAACCAAAAGGAAACTCCAAATAACCGCCATAAACAAAAAAGAAGAAACATTCATGGATCAGAAAGTAGCTGGAACAGCTGTCCAGGTGCTAAGCGCTACCAACTTTCTAAACTCCCCAGAGCTCTATAATTTCTTGCAGGGGAAACACAGAGAGAAATAGTAAAGCTCCCCTCTCAAGCCTGAAATATATATAGTCTAACAGATTTTATATAGTTAAACACTTCAATCAGCACTTCATCATCCCTGTATCCTATCCAAAAAAGGGTGGACAAAAGGGACTTACAGTTTCACTTCTATTCATATTCTCTTCAAAATCTTTAATACCCATAATTCCTTTAAGGCACATGGCTCTGCAACCAACAAACCCAATCTGGCAATCAAAGAAAGGTTCTCCCATCATAAGGGCCTATAAGAGTTTAGAAAGGAAACATAGAACTAAGGACTTGAATTTCATAAAAATGTTATAGGCTTTCCTTGTAGAATCTCTAAATTAGTTAAACAACTTTAGAATTATGTCATTTCTAAATTTATTCTTCTTGGATAGTAAACTCTATTAAAATAAGAAACATCTTACTTGTCTTTGTACCACAACCTATACTTCATGAGCATTACATGTACATACACATACACACAAGCATACACAAGCTAAATGAAAATAATGAAATAAGTTAATGTTGCATATTACAATAAAATATTTATTAAATAATTATTATTTCAACAAATACCACTGGTTATTAAAAAAGAAATACAAAACTATAAACATACGTATTTTTAAACATACTACATCTGATAAAAACAGGTATTTATAAAATACTAAAGAATCAAAAATTTAAAAATACAGATTCAATATTGAAAGATTACCTCAACTGTAGTTCCTTCTTGTTCCCAACACAATACTTCTTTAGATTTTACTTTCTGTGGACTGTAATAACTACTCTCAGCTTGCACTTCTGTGAGCTAAGAAATATAAGAATTTGAAGTAAATCAAAATTAGTATTAAAGGGCAATAAATTGTCACTGTTATGGTTAACTGATTAAAACAAGGCCAATTTTAAGATTCAGGAAATTTAACTATTAAGCAGGAAAGCAGGGGCAACAAAATCAGCTGTAACAGATTATACGTGGTATAAAGGTTGAATATGCTAGTCTCAACTTATATAGAGAATTTAAATACTTTTCAAACTCCTTCTTAATAGTTTTAAAAAATGAAAGCTGTGTGCAGTAACAGTCCCACACTCATAAAATCATTCATGTAGTCTGCCAAAAATTTACACATAGTATAACCTCAGTTCATTTTATATTCACTAAAACATTCAACAATGTGTAGTTTCAGTCATTTCCAAGACTCCTCACTATTTGAAATGAAAAAAATAAAGTGGTGATGAAATACAAATAATAAAATAAGCTCTTTTTAGTTCCTATGAAGGAAACAATCAAGCATATTTCTTTTCAAAGTATGTTTCCTACTAAATCTCATAGACTCATTCAGTCATTCAACGAATACTTATTGAAGTCCAGCTACATAAGTGATGCAAACCTCACTGTACTGCACTCTGCTTTATTTCACCTCACAGATATTGCACTTTTTACAAACTGAAAGTCTGTAGCAACCCCACATTACTTAAGTCTATCAGCACCATTTTCCCAATAGCACATGCTTACTTTGTGTCTCTGTGTCACATTTTGGTAATTCTCCCAATAGTTCAAAATTTTTCATTATTATCTGTTATGGTGATCTGTAATCAGTGATCTTTGACGGTATTATTGTAATTATTTTGGGGCACCATGAACATGCCCATATAAGATTGAGAACTTAACTGATAAATGTGTGTGTTCTGACTGCTCCACTGTCTAGCCATTCCCTTCTCTCCCTTCTCCTTGGGTCTCCCTATTTCCTGAGAAACAACAATATTAAAATTAGGCTAATTAGTAATATCACAATGGCCTAAGTATTTAAGTAAAAGGAATAGTCCCTGTCTCTCACTTTAAAACAAAAGCTAGAAATGATTAAGCTTAGTGAGGAAGGGATGTAAAAGCCAAGATAGACCAAAAGCTAGGCCTCTTGAGTCAAACAGTTGGCCCAGTCATTAACGCAAAAGAAAAAAGTCTTGAAGGAAATTAAAAGTGTACACACAAGTGATAAGGAAGTTGATATGGAAGAAATTTGAGTGGTCTGGAGAGACAATCAAACCAGCCACAACACTCCCTTAAATCAAAGCCTAATCCAGAGCAAAGCCCTAACTCTTCAATTCTATGTAGGTTAATAGAGGTAAGAAAGCTGCAGCAGAAAAGTCTGAGAGTTTTCTACTGCAGAGATCTGTTCATGAGGCTTCTGGAAAGAAGACATCTCCATAAACATAAAAGTACAAGATAAACAGCAAGTGTTGACATAGAAGCTGTACACAGTTACCCTAGATAAGATAATTAACAAAAATGGCTACACTAATCAACAAATTTTCAACAAAGACCCAACAGCCTTCTCTTGGAAGAAGATATCGTCTGAGCTAGTGCGAAGTCAGTGCTTGGCTTCAAAGCTTCAAAAGACAGGCTGACTCTCTTGTTACGGGATAACATACCTGGTAACTTTGAGTTGAAGATAATGTTCATTTACCATTCTGAAAATCCTAGGGCCCTTAAGAATCATGCTAAATCTACTCTGCTTGTGCTCTATAAATGGAACAAAAATAACTGAATGACAGTACATCTGTTTATGGTGGTTTACTAAATACTTTAAGCCTAAGGAAACCTACTGCTTTGAAAAAAAGGCCTCCTCTTAAAATATTACTGCTCACTGACAATGCACCTGGCCATCCTATACCTCTGATGGAGATAAACAAAGAGATGAATATTGTTTTTCATGCCTGCTAAAATGACATCCATTCTGCAGCCCACAGATTAGGAGGAATGTTGACTTTCAAGTCTTATTATCTAAGAAATACATTTTGTAAGGCTATAGCCACCATACATAGAAATTCCTCTGATGAATCTAGGGAAAGTAAATAAAAAACTTTTCTGAAAGGGTTCACCATTCCAGTTACCACTAAGAACATTTGTGATTCATAGAAGGAGGTCAAACTATCCACATTAACAAGAGCTTGAAAGAAGCTGCTTTTAACCCTCCTGGATGACTTTGAGGTGTTCAAGACTTAGATGGAAGAAGTAACTACTAAAGAACTAGATTTAGAAGTGGAGCCTGAAGATGGTTCCTGGTCCAACTTGAGTAGATGGACTTGCTTCTTATAGTTAAACAAAGAAAGTGATTTCTGCCAGGTATGGTGGCTCATGCCACCATATGTAATCCCAGCACTTTGAGAGGATAAGGCAGGCAGATCACAAGGCTAAAAATACAAAAATTAGCCAGGCGTGAAGGCAGGTACCTACAATCCCAACTACTTGGGAGGCTGAGGCAGGAGAATCACTTGAACCCAGGAGGTGGAGGCTGCAGTGAGCCGAGACCGCACCATTGCACTCCAGCCTAGGTGACAGAGCAGGACTCCATCAAGACAGAAAGACAGACAGAAAGACAGAAGGAGAGGGAAGGGGAGGGGAGGGGAGGGGAGGGGGGAGGAGAGGGGAGGGGAGGGAACAAAGCAAGAAACAAAGCAAGAAAGAAAGGGATTTCTGAACTTGAAATCTACTCCTGGTGAAGATGCTGGGAACACAGTTGAAATGACAATGAATTTAGAATGTTCTGTAAATTTACTCAATAAAGCAGCAGTAAGTAGTGTTTGAAAGGACTGATTCCAATTTCAACAGAGGTTCTACTCTGAAGCCAGAAGTGGTGGCTCAAGCCTGTAATGCCGGCACTTTGGCAGGCCAAGTCGGGTGGATCACTTGAAGCCAGGAGTTCAAGACCAACCTGGCCAACGTGGTGAATCCCTGTCTCTACTAAAAATACAAAAATTACCCAGGTGTGGTGGTGCATGCCTGTAGTCCCAGCTACTCGGGAGTCTGAGGCACAAGAATTGCTTGAATCTGGGGGGCAGAAGTTGCAGTGAGCCAAGATCGCACCACTACATTCCAGCCTGGGTGACAGGGTGAGACTGTCTCCAAAAAAACAATCCTACTCTGAGTAAAATGCAGTCAAACAGCATCCCATGCTACAGAGAAATCTTCCATGAAATGAAGAGTCAATTAATGTGGCACACTTCATCGCTGTCTTATTTTGAGAAATTGCTTCTGCCACTCCAGCCTTTAGCAACCACCACCCTGATCAGACAGCAACCATCAGCATTGAGTCAAGGCCCTCCGCCAGCGAAAAGACGACTTGCTAAAAGTGCAGATGATCATTAGCATTTTTTAACAATAAAGTACTTTTTAATTAAGGTATATAAACTGTTTTTAGACATATTATTGGACACTTAAACTACAGTACTGTGTAAGCATAACTTTTTACACACTGGGCAAACCAAAAAATTTCTATGACTCACTTTATTGCTATATTGGCTTTATTGCAGTGGTATGAAATCAAACCAATAGTATCTCCGAGGTACACCTGTACTAATCTAGATACGAACAAAACAAGAAATTCTTACTCCCCAGATGCTTACAACATATTATTTATATGTTTCAAAAAGTAAATAAGTTATTTTTCAAAAGTACTATTTTAAATGTAATACGGTATCCTGGTTTGGATCATGGTGCGGAAAAAAGATATCATGAAATTCAATTAATGTTTAAAATTTAACAGTAATGCATCAATGAAGGCTTCTTAGTTTTGACAAATATACTGTGATAACATAGCAATAAGGGAAACTGGGTAAGGAGTATAAGTGAACTCTCTGTACTATCTTGGCAACCTATCTGTAACTCTAAAATTATTCCAAAAAGAAAAGGTTATCTTTTTTAAAAAGGTATTCAGCCTGTGTTTGCTAATGATTTATTTCCCCTCATTCTTATAGATACATTCTTCGCTTTTACATGCAAAGTCAAAGCTCACATTTTTAAAAAATCAATATTTAACTTAGGCCCAATAAAAGTTCTTGAACTAAAAACTTACAATTTTTAGCACAATGACTTATCTATACTGAGTATCAACTAATTATTCTCATTTTTTATAATAAAGCTTTTTATATTTTATGTTTTTATGTAACATAGACTCCTATTTCTTGGATGTTTCTAGTATTGATATACACAATGTAGCTACTTTAAAGTACAATTCTGTAATCTAGAATGATTACTGAAGCAAACTTGAATTTTTTTAAATTGATCCCTCTTCAGCTGTCTACAATTATTATAGAGAAAAAGCAATTAATTGATTAAAAGGACTCAAACATTATAAGAACAATTTTAAACATTATTGGAAAAATGCTAGATTTAATTTGGCATGATTTTTGCTGGACTGATATCAACTGTTCAAAATGCTAATGCAGAAACATGATCTTGTTTTCTTAACCAAATATGAACCACAAATTAATTCCATACATTCTTCAAATTCAAGCTGAACAATGAATTCTCATGCTTTCCTCCTTAATATCAAGATACTTCACTAACAGAAAACTTTGAGAAACATAAATGTTCTAAAATTATAAAAAGATATATTAACTATCGACAAATACTGCCCAAAAAGTCTATAGAAGTTTTATATATAAATGACTATTTTGTTTTGTCATTGCTTTTCTTTTTGTTTTTGAGACAGGGAATTCGTCTGTCACCCAGGCTGTAGTGCAGTAGCATGATCATAGCTCTCACTACAGCATAAGCCTCCACTTCAGCTTCTAGAGTAGCTAGGACTACAGGTACACACCACTGCATCTGGCTATTTTTTTATTTTATTTTTTATAAAGATGGGGTCTCACTATGTTGCCCAGGTTGGGAAATGCCTATTTTGACTGATTCACTTGAATACAATTCCTCTCAATAATTAACAGAAATGTACCAGAATAATTTCAAATTCATTTCAAATGACTTCAAAAATCACCAAAAAGGATAGTACCTAACTAGTAATCCTTGACTTC